AGCAGTCAGTTGTGTTGTTGGAAAAGAGGTGCAAGGTGGGAGGGTCCTGCTTTGGTCCACATGTCACGGGGTGTACAACCCACCCCATATTAGCTCCATCACGCCAGAGAAAATCCTGGGACTCTGAGGGACAGGACAAAGCAGATTTCCAAAAAAATCCAACACAGATTTAAACATGTACGCTAGGTAAGACCTCTGTTCTTTTACGCTAAACTACTCATACATCCTTCACTGCAGTGACACAATGCGAGTCACTTTTTGGTAGACACGCTAAGTTAGAGGATTGTGAAGCTGCAATATAGTAAATTACTTAATATAAAAATGTAATTGGGGTTTTACCACCTGTACAGATTTAGCTAATTATATTCTCACAAATGTAGTAAAAGGTTTAAATTTTAATTTTGGCCACTCTCAGAAAGCTTCATTTCATTTTAGTTAAACTCTAGCTAAGGAGGTGAAGTTACTGCAGCCACACTTTTATGAGTTGCACAAATCGTTGACATCAAACATCTTCCAGTTATTGGCCTCGCCTGGATTGTCTTGATTACATGCTCGTTAAAATGAACTTGGCGCTTCATGTTTACCAGCTAACGTTAACTAGGAGTTCATAAACCTGACCAACTCATCTAGTTTATCCAACCCACTTAGTCAGCGAGACACAAACCTAACTACACGAGCAGCTATAGCGAGCACTTTTGTATTTGGTGCTCTAAGTTAAATTGTTTAATATTTGTCCAACGCTGCCCGACGTTTTAATGACCAGATAATGCAACGTTAGCTGGACCATGCTAGCAGCAGGTCTCGCCTTCTTTAGCTATCGTTTCTCCAATCTCGTTGTTCAAAACAAGGGAAAAAATAGCTTCCAGCTTCACTAAAACAAATACTTGCGGACTTATCAACACGACAGATCGTCTATACTTACAAATGAAACCAACAATAACTATGTTGTTGACACTTCGGATTCTCTCTGACAGCTCGACAACACCAGCTGCAGTAGCAGCAGCAGCAGCAGCCTGATCATGTGATTAGCATTCAGTCTGTACAAGAGGAGAAGAGGGACAAACAGCACAAAACGTAGACGAACTGCGCCCCATCACGACACTGCATCAAAATGTGTCTACCGGTATTTCATGAGACATCCGTGGCTGGATTCACAAGTTCAGCATGACTAACGGTGTGTGCTTGCTATAAGCTCAGTTATGTTGGCAAACGCAAGGTTAATGTGCAGAGTGGGAAACTGCCTAGGTGGCCTCAAGTTCACTGTGTCTCAGTTGGTTTGAGACAATTTGATTCATTGCAACTTGACAACTGTGGAGTATATACGTGCGACGGCTCAACGCTGTTGTTTGCTGTTGTCATCATTTATGTAATTTGGTTTGAATGTTAATGTTGGATATATATGTATGATTTTCCATCAGGTAGTTACTATAATAATAAAAATATAATATTATAATAATATTGATGTTATTATATATATATATATATATATATATGTTACTGTGACTTTCAATGGAAATGCACCTTCTCACACACATGGAATTTGGATGGAAGTTTCTAATTAGATTTTTTTTATCAACCCAAAGAAAGCACACTGAACAGGAGAGGATCCCANCCAACTCATCTAGTTTATCCAACCCACTTAGTCAGCGAGACACAAACCTAACTACACGAGCAGCTATAGCGAGCACTTTTGTATTTGGTGCTCTAAGTTAAATTGTTTAATATTTGTCCAACGCTGCCCGACGTTTTAATGACCAGATAATGCAACGTTAGCTGGACCATGCTAGCAGCAGGTCTCGCCTTCTTTAGCTATCGTTTCTCCAATCTCGTTGTTCAAAACAAGGGAAAAAATAGCTTCCAGCTTCACTAAAACAAATACTTGCGGACTTATCAACACGACAGATCGTCTATACTTACAAATGAAACCAACAATAACTATGTTGTTGACACTTCGGATTCTCTCTGACAGCTCGACAACACCAGCTGCAGTAGCAGCAGCAGCAGCAGCCTGATCATGTGATTAGCATTCAGTCTGTACAAGAGGAGAAGAGGGACAAACAGCACAAAACGTAGACGAACTGCGCCCCATCACGACACTGCATCAAAATGTGTCTACCGGTATTTCATGAGACATCCGTGGCTGGATTCACAAGTTCAGCATGACTAACGGTGTGTGCTTGCTATAAGCTCAGTTATGTTGGCAAACGCAAGGTTAATGTGCAGAGTGGGAAACTGCCTAGGTGGCCTCAAGTTCACTGTGTCTCAGTTGGTTTGAGACAATTTGATTCATTGCAACTTGACAACTGTGGAGTATATACGTGCGACGGCTCAACGCTGTTGTTTGCTGTTGTCATCATTTATGTAATTTAGTTTGAATGTTAATGTTGGATATATATGTATGATTTTCCATCAGGTAGTTACTATAATAATAAAAATATAATATTATAATAATATTGATGTTATTATATATATATATATATATATATATGTTACTGTGACTTTCAATGGAAATGCACCTTCTCACACACATGGAATTTGGATGGAAGTTTCTAATTAGATTTTTTTTATCAACCCAAAGAAAGCACACTGAACAGGAGAGGATCCCAAGAGCAGGAAACTGTGGGAGCCAGGACGGCTCCAATCACTGGCATATATTTTGTTAGTGTTCAGTAATAAGACATTTAAATGCCTTTCCAGTTTAACACCTTTACTTTAGGAAAAGTTGACTTCAGTCAGCCCACGTCAACCAATACTTATTTGGCGAATATATGTCAGCTTTACTGGATATGACCTGTTGTAACCCCGAGGCTCAGTGTTGTAGAGTGGCCCTGTGTCAGAATCTACGTCTAAGACTTTCAGTTATTTCCGTTTCAATGTATAGTTTTATAAACAGTGTACTTTTAGCCCATACCTAAGGGCTCTATAGATAGATAGGAAAATTGAGGAACATTGTAGAGACAGAGACCCAGAATAAAAATACATTGCAACAATATATTGCAACAATAGTAATAATATGTTAAAAATGTCAGTGTATAATGAATGGAGTAAAAGTATGATATACACAGTATGTACAGATGATTGTGCTTCAGTGTGTTCTCCTGTCACATAGAGGTGAGCTGTTGTACAGTGTCATAGTGAACAGCAGGAATGATTTTCTGAAACACTTCTTGTGACATCGGAGCTGAATGAGTCTGTTACAAAAACGGGCTCTACTGTCTCTGACGTGTGTGAGCCAGTGTAGCACGGAGATATTAACATTGTCCAAGGCCACATTAGGCTTGTAATGGAAACTGAAGAGAGCAGATTTCACCTGTGGTCTAAGGTCTAAAATCTGCCTAAGGTGGACCAGTCTCTTCAGTACCTTCATGACATGTGACTTAGTGCAACCAGTCTAAAGTCATCTGGGTGGCCTTCTTGGGTACTGGTGACAAGTAGGACGTCTTCCACAGTGCTGGTATCCTTTCCTACCTCAGACTTAGGTTGAAGATATGTCGCAGGATATGCACAGGACTTCATGATAGAGAGTGGATACCTGGCACGAGCCCAACAGGTTAAACCATAACCATAACCTGTGATGCGGGGGCACAAGGTGACTTTGCTCCATTTTCGAGGACATATAAACCAAAACCTTTGGAAAGCACTGAACTACATTATCCACAGAGTCACTGAAGTGTGTTTGTCAGAGTGTGTGCATATGACTTTCACACATAGGCTTGTGTAATTTTTTGACATTTCATGATCTAAACATATAAAAAACTCCAAAATCACTAAGGATGAATATGTATTATGTACATCTCCTATTACCTTCTGTCCTTGAGGAATTACAGGTAGTCTAAAACAGTTTGTGCATGAAATATAATGCATCTGAAATTTTTCATACTGTATATTAGATAATATTCATTTTCCTGCTCAATAGTCTGTCAATCCACAGATACCTGGCAGCACTGCTGGAGTTGAAAGTTCTCTCTCTCTCTCTCTCTCTCTCTCTGTCTCTCTGTGTGTTTCAGTGGAGTATCTCTACCATTACATCTTCATCTCTAACTCACGTTTCATGAATAATTTGCATACTGATCAGGCCCGTGGACAGCTGCTCCCAAGACTGTGATGGAATAAGCCCAATTAAAGTGAGAAGAGGACGCCTGATACTCTCTGTCTGCTGCTGAAGTGCATTAATCATTCTAGATGAGGCTAATGCAGCGCTACTGCTTTGTTGGACTACACACTAATTAGACTTCAGTTGGGTTGAATCAGCAGTTTAATAGACTTTAGCTGACTGAGACATGCATTTTACTGCAACTAAAGCAAACAATACATTTTTACCAATGCGCTTTATTGTCCAACAAAAACATTGGTGGTCGCTTTTCCTTTACAACATCAGGTTAAATGAACATAATCCATGCAATGACGTGTAGAAAAATAATAAATGACACAATTTATTTGCTGCGGTATTCATTATATTTTACATAAGTACAAAAGAATGAAAAACAAATCAGTCAGTGAATGAGATTTCTATCCATAAGTGTAAACGTAGCCACTTTTATTTAATTCAAGCATGTACTGTACTGACCAGCGTGTGTTGCCTCACAGAGGCGACATCGCAAAAGCCAGTAGACTAATGCTTTCATCCTTGGACTTGATTTCAGCGTAAGTAGACTAATTAACGGAATAAATACTAAATAATGATAATTATCATATAATTCATTAGTAAAGTTCAAAGTAGGGCACGCACTCTTGTGAAAACCTTATTTACAGCGATGTAATCACTTTGGAGGACAGTTACGCACAAGCTCCCCAAGAAAACAAACAGCACGTAAATGTTTTGCGATGATGATACAGTCATTAACTGCCAAAGAAAAAAAAGAAAAGAAACAGTGGCACAAAAAGGCTAAATGATGTCAATTCTTTTTTCATTTTTAATTATTCATTATGGTCACTTAATTTACACATTTATTTGTTTACAATACAGCAGTATGCGCACACCAGAGCTTGTTTTCTTTAACCTACTCTCCTTCCACCAAATCCTCCTCCGGTGCAAATCTTTTACCCGGGTGTTGCCTCTTCTCCTCGGCATGACTCTTGTTAATGTTGTCTAAAAAGTCGAGCAGCAGACTGGTCTTGCTGCAGCTCGTAGGGTCCAAAACATCACACGGACTGTTTGTGCCCAAATCCGGACTCGAGTTATCCCAAAAGCGTTTTCCGGGGTGTTGACGCTTTTCCAACTCTGGCAGGTCTTCGTCTCCATCCGCCTCCGCATCCCAGTCCCCATCGCCATCCTCATCCTCGGGATACCGCTTACCTGGGTGCTGGCGTTTGCTGTGCAGCACCAGGTAGCGCTTGCCGGGGTGCTGTCGTTTAGAAAGTTCACTCAGGAGTATGACGGGGTTGTCAGACATGTGTCCCATGGTGGAGCGCTTTCCCGGGTGCTGCCTTTTCTGGAGCTCCATGAACGTGTGCATTTCATCTTCGCGTTTGCCCGGGTGCTGTCTCTTTTGAACATCAAAGTACTGATCATCCTCGTCTTCTTCTCTCCTCCCCGGATGCTGTCGCTTCTCCAAATCCTCGCCGTATCTCTTACCGGGATGCTGTCGTTTTGACACCCATTCAGGCTGAGAGGAGAATCCCTCTGGAGAGAGGAAAACAGTGTTTAGATTATTTCAAGTAGCCCCGAGACTTTAATGAAATATACTGCAAAAATGTGTTTGTCTATAACGTTCGTAAAATGCGCACGAAAGAGTGTAGCTGGTGGTCCACATCCCACGCATCTTATTAAACTGGAGGTAGATTATTTTCTACTTTCATATTTCAAAACTCAGTTTCAAACATTATTTATCACTGTTATTTATAATTATGTAACTGAAAAACACCCAAAACTACGTGTAATACTAAGAGCGTCAGTGCTGCCGCTTTTTCAAAACGTTAAAAATCCAAATGTCAAAATAGTACAAAGTACAATTACTGACAGACTTAAAGGTGTAAATTCAACATTTAAAAGTTAACTATTCTGCATCAAATCAATTCCTGGCTCGCCTGTAAAATGAATCCAAGACATATATCTTTTTTACGTACCGTCTTCATCCTGCATCTTTTTGAGAATGGACCGTAACAGGAGACTTTCTGCTCTCTGTAGGATGATGTCGTCTATGGTCCTTCGGTCCGTCTCATCCTCAGCAGGGATGCCCTGTCCCCCACACACGGTCAAGTTGCAGAGCACGAGAGAAGCCAAGATGAGAAGACATGTCGACTTCATGGTAAGTTAGTTGGTCGTCTGTTGAAGAAATGGATCGTGGTCGATGGGAAATATATTGCAGAAATGGAATAAATATGGGAGAATAGTGAGCAGGTCTATAAACTTCACTGATTTATTTCAATATCGAGACCCAAAGTCTTATTTTTTCCTGAAAATAAATGTCAAACAATCGGAGGAAATCATTTGTCTAGTGCAAACAGCAACTTGTTTCAGCTTGTTATTTGGCATTTTATCACTTTTCTCATCTCATACAGGTTATGATGAAATCCTAATAAAGTAGCAACAGATCAAACTTGTTTTACATAAAGAAAAGCCAAAATCTGAAAGTCATGCGGTCTAAGAAACCTCCATAAACACATTTGAACAATGAATACTAAATGTGATCCATCCAGATATGCTCAAGCAGAACTTCTAAAAACAAAAGATAGACATATTTGCGTTGTATAAGAATTTGCTCTGAAGTGCGCCAGACTCACATGGGAAGTATTCAGATCCTGCTCGTTCCCAGTCACTGTTGATGGCACCGCCGGCAGTGATGATAGTTGCTCTCAGCCTCTCGCAGCTGTTGGTGACCCGCAAAGGCCGAGTCTAGAGGTATGAGAGGATAACTTTCCGTCTCAGCATTTATACTTACCGGTCACTGTCGTCACACCAGCGCTGGAGTCATTTTTCAGGATCCCTCGTCCCCATTGATGTCACCAAGTCGTGCGCAACTGGATGTGGTGAATGATGCCCCTATAGGCACCGCTGCCGAATTTGTCATTTGAAAAACAAATAAAGGGCTGAGTCTAAGAGAGACAGCTGGTTATACTACAGGATGACTGGATACGATCAATTCATTCATAGAAAATGTGAATTTGTGACTGTTGTACCCAAGTTATTCATCCATACTAACTTTCCTTATCATTTCCCTTTAAGTTGAGTCCGTTTTGAGCGTGTCTTCTTACAACAGGCTGCTATGTGTTGATTGCTGTTTGCCACTCAGATGACGACATACAGTAAATGGTCCGAATATCTAAAGTCTGCAGAGAGATGTATCCATATTTTTCACCAATACCCTAAGGTCACAGGACTCAGGAGGGCGAGCTGAACCCATCTGCTTCTTCTGAGTACAAGTAATGCACTTTCTGGTCACGATGCAACACAGCGGAATTTATCAGAGGCGGACAAGTTCTTTTTTGGGAGCCATGGCGTTTGACTTGGTATTTTATCAAAGCAACCAGAAAAAAAGCGCAGTGTGGAGGAGTTTCCGTATTTATTAACCTCTCAGCATCCATTTCCAGCCCTTTAATTCCCCCTTCAGTCACTTTAAGGTTGTTAAAATTTTGATTTTAAATCTAATTTTGTTAAAATCATTTTATTCCACTCTACCTTCATTGAAGCTATATGGTTTTTTAAGATGTAAAATATGGTAACCAAAAACTCCTTTTTTTTTTTTTTTTTTTTTTGTTTTGGTTGCACCAAAGCATCAAGTGAAAATATTCCAGATAATTTGGGCATCAATTCCTTCACAGTTGTCTTTCCCTACTCTCTGGCTTTCTGTTGTTATATTGTTGTTATATTGTTATTATACTCCTGAGCTTCTTGCTTGTTATTGCTTTTGCTTTGTTTTAAAAGCACTTCCTTTGTTTTTAAAGGTGCTATGTAAATCAAGTTGTTGTTATTACTATTATCACATATTTAGCACTTTTGGACATTTTATGATTTCCACAAGAATTTCAAATGAAGTTCTGGGGATTTGCTTGGCTGCACAGTAAAGGTTTGTAATGACTGACCCGGAGCTGGTTGACTGGAGTTTAAGAAATTGATATAATTAGTCAAATTGATTTCTTAAGAGTTGATGCCTCATGAAGCTACAGTATCTCTGCAGGTGAAAATAGGTGGTGCAATAAAGGAAACCCAAGTGTGACAGTTACACTTCAAGGCGTCAGTCCACACAAAAAGAACAAACCAATTTTTTCCTTTTTTACACAAGTGTTTCTTTTCCCATCCAGATAGCTGAAAGTGTCTGCAGATGTCCGCTGTCTAAAAGAGATCTTTTTCCAAATGTCTATTTCTGTGCAGAAGGAAATGTGCCAGCATCAACTTGAGACCTCCACAAGAACACATGATGACATGGAAGTGGACGTAAACACATGGTCTTCATCTCAGCTGAGCATCAGGTCAGTTCACTGGAGTGTTGTCATGGCCGAGCCCGTCTCAGTTTCTGGTCAGAAAAGATGTATTTTCTTTTGGATATGTGGCTCTTATATACCTTATATTTTTGAGCATCTGTGAGCTAAAGTATGAGTCTCAAGTTCAAATCTCACCAAAACTACCTGTACGAAACTCTCTGTAGATGAGTCCTTATCCCTTATGCAGAGTCAAATAAATCACTCCAGCATTTGGATGAACTCCTGCATAGTCACACTCAGTCTGTGGTGAATGACAGTATGAACTGAATTGACCGTGTAATGCCGTAATTACTTGCTTTCAACGTGCTGCCACGTCCAATACTTCAAGTGGGTTTAGACTCCTCTCGAGCCTGCAGTTTAAAAACATCAATATCATGGTGGAAATCATTAGGTATGTTTTATGATTGATTTTTACTGAAAAGTCTCATGCATCTTATTTTCCCTTGTGAGGAAACAATAGCGATCTCTGTTTAACATTCCCTCTAATGTGAAAATGAAAATAAAATTGAAACAATATCCTGTGAAAAGGTGAGGTTTGTAAGAGTATTAACGTTTTGGTTAGCACTCACACACTTCTGTAGACATAAGAGTTAAAAGAGTATTTTGTTAAACATCACCAATTGAGTTCAATGTCTCCCTCCTCAGTTAAACTCAGTTATAGTGCGAAGGAGGAAAAATAATTCCCTGTGAGACCACGCTGTCTGTCTGGCAGTGACTTCTTCTTGCGCTGAATTGCCTCAGACAAACACAGAAAGTCACAGTGGCACAATTAAGACATGTCTGAATAGGAAACCACATGCTTACTGTCTGTCATGTATGTCCCCTCCTACCTATTAGGCCAAGTGTGTAACAGCATGCCCAAAGGAACCAATTAATTGCCCAAGAGAAGGTGTATGTTGGATTTTAAGCAGTTTTAAAAGGCCAGCATGCCCTTCAACAAGTGAAAGTCTGCAGGATGTGTTCAGGGAATGAGTGGTCCTCATACTGAAGATGTTGAACAATTAAAGCAGATGGAGTGATTGCTGCAGGTGTTGGAGCATTTACATTGCCCCCCCCCCCCCCCCCCCCCAACCCCCCCTTTATCACTGTAAGGCTGTGATTAAAATACGCCCTCCTTTCTCTTGATTCACTCTCCGTCATCCTGCACAAAAAAGGCTCGCTATCAGAGTCTTTCAGAGCTGGGGCGATCATTACAATTAGTATTCCGGTCAGTATTATGTAGCTCATGTACTGCGGAAGAGGACAGGTTAAGTATACAGCCTGTGCGGTGTGAGAAAATAATAAGACTCATTAGCTTTTATCCTCTGTTTACTCACGCTGCTTGTGTTAATTATGTATTTTTTTTTTTACAGTCTTGTTGAACTTCTTCAGTGTGTAAAGGAAGCCTGGCTACCTATCATCCTGTAATACTGTCACAAAGCTGTCTTTCTTTTTAACCAGGTTAGATCACCATGGTAACCTAATGTATGGCTGTTTAACTTCAGAGGATCAGTATCCAGTTTCACAAAGATAGACTCTGACTATCAAATCAAACTAAAAGTCAGACTTAAGATGGATGTTTAAATTCATGAATGAATGATGACTTTAAACATCTGTCATCATCATTCATTATCTTAAGTGGGACAAATTTGCCAAGAACTGAAAAACACGGCTGGTTGAGCAACTGCATCACACCGCTCAGCTCTGTTCACTCCAGCAGAAAACATTTGCCTTCTGGAAGAGTTCAGCAATGACAAGGATATTACACTGGGAAAATCCGGCGAAGCATGTAACAGTTTAGTGGCAGAGCTGAGTACTCGAGCTCGAGTTGTCAGGCAGGCTCAGATTGGTTATTTAGATGAACGAAAATTACTGACTAGTGTTTAGTTTTACTTTTCAGTCCTAAAATAAATCAGTCTTTATTGTTGTGAAAATGTCTTGCAAGCAGTAGACTAATCTATGAGCAAACTTAAATAAAACCAGTGTGAAATATCTTTATGAAACCAGATTAAAATCTGTTAACAGCCCAGATACTAACGAGTCGGATTACATTCCTACGGGATCCTGACATCGACAGAAGTACAGAGTTTATAATTGTAATACAAGCAAGTGATAAGGAGTAATAAGTGGCGACCTGTTGACTGACTGGTTAAGGCATGTATCACAAAAACACTCTTTTTTGAACAACTGTGTGTCCGCTCTGGGTTTAGATCGAGGCTCCCAGCAACAGATTATCACAATAACAGGGTGATGATTTTAGCTTCATGTTAAATTCATTCACTTTATTTGATCTTGAAATAATTACTGACAGTGTAGAGACTTTTATACTCTTACTCCTTCACTGCAACTCAGGATATGTTTGTGAGTATTAGATCTTTTTATTCTCAATGAGATAGTAAATGTTGAAGAAATTTAGCTGATTTTATACATTAAAACCTGGTTTCAGGTCCGAGGGTTTGGTGATCTTATGTTCGCGAACAATCCTATGCTTTTCAACCGCTCTTTGGTATAAATGAAGGGAACCCAGTCATACTTGGTGAGAGCTGTGCCCAAATTTCACTGCCCCTGGTGATTATTTCACAGAGAAACATAGTGTCCTCCGCCCCCTACAAAACAAGACTAAGTAAAAACCTAGTATATGGCTGGACTGTATATGGGTGTATGAAACCTCCCTAGATCTTGTTATCTGTCTGGATCGTCCAGCTCAGGAGACTGAAACAACTTCCATGTTAGTTTAGTGCATGTTGAGGATCATGTTGGGATCCTCACTGTTTCAGTACAGGAAAGTGATATGCAGCAGAAAATACAACACACCTGTACGGTAAAAGAACACCTTGAACATCACACACTCAGAACCACATAACTAGAGAGATGAGTGCGGTTAGACATTTGACTTATGACGCTTGTTGATCCCAGAGAGGAAACTGGTTTTACAAAGCAACAAAAATAAGATAAAGAATTGGCATTGCATCTTTGTTTAATCCAACTTAGATAGTTTTAAATGCTATTTCTGGAGAAACTCTGTCCTATATCTGATCATCTCCAGTGACATCATTCACATTCATTCTCAATAATGGACTATAGTTTAGCTTGGACAGACACAAGTCAGCAGAGTGTTTCATCAAGCATGATGGGATCTGAATAAAAAAAGTATTTTTATGACTCACTGAACAAAGATGAGGATAAAAACAAAGATCTGCTGATTGGCTCAAACATGTTTTGAAGAAAGTTGCTGTCTGAGTGGTGACGCTCAAATAGCAGGGACAGGGCAACACAAAGCGTTATACAACACTGCTGTATTATCACTTTATAAAGTTGTTATAACAAACTTGTTAGCAAACAGTTGCACATAGACACACATCCAGAAGACATGGTACAACATTAGCATTTATTTGGAGTTGGTG